TATTCTCTCCAGTTATAATATTGTAATTACATGCGATATGAGTTCGTTTGACGTAACCTGGAGCGTGGAAGTCACGTAAAGGACGAAATAACCATTTTCATATTGAAATGTAAACATAGACATCTGATTGAATAGTATCTACGCAGTGCGGGCTCGTGGCGCCCTCTGGCGGGGTCTATAAATATGATAATATTGACATTGCCAGCGCCATTTTTATTTCATGAATTCGCTTGTAGAATATAAATCAAAGACTTAGCAGCTTACTGTTCTCGTTATAGAAGACGATAAAACTATAGACGAGGATAATAAAAATATATCGAAACATATTTTAGTAAAACAAAAATTTTTAAATGAGAGAAGAACATATTTTAATAAAATGCAAATGTTGCAATAAGAGAAAAATATTTTGTTAAATTAAAAAAAAAATCCCACTCGGTTTCTTACTACTTCATCAAAACTCCACTGGTGAACATAGGCCTCCACATAGATTCTCTCAAAGGGGTATCCTCCTTGCCATAGTTGCCACGCTTGACAGGCGAGTTGGCAGACGCTGTTTTGCACGCCTCACAGCGTGAGGGAGTGCTCTACTCTCGATATGTGGCCATACCTCAATTTCGCTACATAATATCGTTCTTATACTTTTAGCTAGACATCACATCTACATTATTATTAACGTTAAAATAACTGCAGACATTGAATTATAAGATCAGTTAATTTTCTAATTGATTCACTTTAGATTACATAACAAAAAATGTAATTGAAAAAATACATTTTTTTTATAGGAGAGGGGGCAAATGAGCATGCGGCTCACCTGATGGTAAGTGACTACTGCCGCCCATGAACAACCACAACACCAGGGGAATTGCAAATGCTTTGCCGGCCTTTAAAAAGGAGTAGGCTCTTTTCTTGAAGGTCCCTAAGTCGTATCGGTCCCGAAAAATCGCTGGTGGTAAACTATTCCACAAGGAAGTTGTGCGGGGAAGAAAACATCTTCTAAATCGCACAGTGGTGGATCGCCAATCATCCAGATGGTGTGGATGGTATCGAGAGTTCTGCCGCGATGTGCGTTCGTGAAATTTGGCGGCTGGGATTAATCCGAACAATTCCTCAGAGCACTCCCCATGGTAGATGCGAAAGAAAATGCAAAGAGATGCAACATCTCTTCGCAGTGCCAATGAGTCGAGCCGATCGGAAAGGAGTCGGTCGTCGACGATTCGAGCCGCTCTCATGGACTGCCGTTCGTTGGTCTGTGCGTCGGTAAGTTTTCTCGCTTAATATAAATAAATGTAAGCAATAGATTGAGATATAGATATAGTATTAAATAAGATTCCGTATATTCTAAGGAGGATCCCTATTGATTTTTGTTATTGAACTCAACGCCGTTTAAAAGTTATTTACTTTTTTTATCAAAATTTCATGACGCGTGCACTCTTGGATTTTCCAAATTTCATTTTAGTCTATATTCTGTGATGTTGTTGCTGTTAGTAATACGGATATTGCAGCTGCATCTGATACAGGGCGAGCTATTTAGCCGCGAGCTATTGCATGCCGTAAACGCAACGCGCATAGGTATGTTCTACTAGCGCCTAAAAATCAAGATTCCAACGTTTTGTCGCATGAAATCGTATCTAGCAATCATATTGTACATATAAATAATATAAAAAGCACATTGTCAGAAAGATAAATGATTATTTAACTTAATAATATTTTTAGAATCGATTAATTGCTATTTTTACATAAAAATGGGTTTTAGTGACTTATGGTGTGGATTTGTCAAGTCCCTATCGCTTCGTAAACACGATAACTTTTGAAAATATCAATTGTTCAACGCAATCTATTTTTAAAACTCTTCATCTATCATGAGGTAAGCCATTGAATGTAAATGGCAGTTTAATTTTGTTTTGTTTAGTTTTAATTAATTTTTTTCGACTGCTAAATATCGAAATTTTCGGTGTTCGATCACTGTGCAAATACACAATATTTGAAAAACCAAATCTCATTCATACTTCTTGATTATTATAATGATCAGAGATTTTTATTACAATATTTTAAAAGCACATAGTAAATAATAGTAGTACGTACTAAATGTAAGTAGGATGTAATATTTATACTTAAATACGACTTGGACTTTTTGAAGTGACATGAATGATGATATAATGATCATATGAGCATTATGAGTCGTGCACTTTGTATTTTCCAAACTTTTTCAAATTGAAGTTTGACATAAAGTTATCGGAAAATTGGAAGTATAATAAGGTTATTAGTGAAAACTTGTGTGTATTTAAACTACTTTAAAAACATTACGTATAATCACGTTATACGAAGGTAATTTTTTAATGCGATTAGGGCATGCGCAGTTGGATTTACCAATAGTTTTTATTTATGTAATTGTAAAATACTACTTTCTGTGTAGTGGTGGCATAAGAATATCAATTTCTCCACATCGTCTCGGGGGTGTCGTCAGAGACGGCAGATCGAAAAGCCAACCAGTTATCACCAGCGTTTTCTTAATAATACTAAACTTAAAAAATATATATAAAAAACTGCGATCTGCAATATTAAAAAAAATATATTGCCAAAGCAGTTGTTCTGTACTGCCGCTTCTATCACTTTACTAACATATCAAAAAGTCCACTAAGTCTTTGCAACGACTTAACGATGGCTACGATCTTAAAGACGATAGCCGAAACCTGCGGCTCGACATGCCTCCCAAATCCCGCGGCAATCGAGATTAAATGCAACTGGAACGGGTTACATCCAACATCTGACCACTAGACGTTCACCACGATCATCGTTAAGATAAATCCTTCGAAGTACCTTTTAAGGAAAGTAGATATCGGATACGTTTAAACGTAATGATGATTTGCATCTTTGCTTTAAGTCGTCTGCTTGAATTCAGTAAAGACAACTTGGGCGTGGTAGAGTCATGCTGGAGCTATATTATGTCTGTACCACGAATGGACCAGGGCTGTGCTACGCTCTGATGGAATACCAGATAATACTGCTAAAATACAAGCTGATAATACTGCTGCTGTGTTTTGTATGGTGAGTGTCGCGTACCGGATACCTTTTAATTGTAAACGAGGTATTCTTAGTTCTGATGGGTGACACCGTATCCTGCATTTAGATTCTTAATCGAGTATAGATGTAGATGTCTATTCATCATTTATCATTAGGTTTACTGTGTGCTCGATTGTCACCATTATTTTATAAAACTCCATTTACCATTTGTACATGTATAGAAAATCAGCAACATAATTTGTATTCAAGAACGTTTTAATACGGAGCAATCCGAACATAAATACAGATAAATACGATAACCTATTTCGCATTATTGACGCAAAAAATGATTTCCACGAAAGTTAAAAGAAGCTTAGTGAGCTTAGCAAGTATCAACTGTTTACTCCGACACGATTTTCGAAACTTCCAATTTGTTTGTGTTTACATTTGCGATGTGTTTGGGCTTAGATTTATCGCTGAAACATCAGTTTGTATCGTTTAATTTCTGTAACGTGCGGCGTGCTCACTGGCGTGACAACCCGTCTACTGAATATAATCACTGCCTTTAAATTTAAACCACATTGTAAAATTAAATTGTGCACAATAATTGTATGGAAAGTTTTTATGCCCTTATTAAGGGGAATATAATTTGCGATGAAATCTATACATATAAATAAAATTGTAGTGTATGTCTCTGATTTCGAAATAACTGCCTTTTATTAAACTGAGAGGATGATTTACATGCTATTAATTAAGACATGAATAACTATTTTCAAAAAATCTATCAATCTGTCTGGGCTAATCTTTGGAATGACTCAACAGTTTGCAATGAAACTATACGAACAGACAGAGAGCGTTACTAGGATTGACTACATTTTATCCTTGAGAACTGACATGGAATGCCTCGTTTCCAGTAAAAAGGCTCTCCGGTTCTCTACACTTACCATACGAAACATATCAGCATTAAGCTGCTATTTCACGCTGGTATTCTGTGAGAGCTTCCTTCCCCGATCGAGCCGGTCCATTCGTGCTACAACCATAATAAAGCTGCAGCGTGACTCTACCACGTATATCTACAATATATTATAATCCACATGCGTCAATAGCTATTTCTAACTAAAAAATTATATATTTTTTGTTCTGAACTACGATCTCCGTATTTTGACATATCTGGCCTCTATCTCAAGAAACGTAAAATGATATTTGCATGCGAGTGGCAGCTCAACGAACTTCTCTACGAGATACCAGCAGCGGTTTCATGAATAAAAAAATATTTTTCAATCTGTCTCCTGTAGTATTAAAAGTTTTTAACGCATGTAAAAATCGAAATCAAATAGGAAAACTTTCCGCTTTTGAAATGTGTCTATATCGTGCGGCCGCACTTACGCTGCGCATAATACGTTCAGCTCCAAGATTCCGTGGCACGACAGATTAGACTTGAGAATTCGCCCGCAATCCCCTTTAATTTTCCTCGCTTTTGATCGTATTAAAAACCATCTAAGCGCAAGGCATCTTTGGGCACTGTACGATAACTGGACGAAAGTCTACTCTAAATGTCTTCTAAGGCATACATTTTTAATTTCCTCTCCCATTGAAGAAGTGGTGGTCTATACGCCATTTAACTAAATCACGTCTATACAGGCAGCTACTGTATTTTTAAACGTAAACGTAAACTAAAAATAGAGAAAATATTTTGTTAATGTATCTAGCACATACATCTGAGATACAGGTTTGTCCTAGTTCCGGTGCCCGTTATTGTAGGCTATTTCAAATTAAGACATTGTTTGAATTAATTGTACAGTTTATTGTAATAAAAATTATTAATATTAAAAAAATAAAACATCTTATTACAAAAAAGGGGTTTATTGATAGACTTATTGGTTTTAAACTATGATTTTAGAAAAGTCCTTCTAACCCTCATCTGTCAGTCATCTACGGCACCACTGTTTTCGCGATATGCCGTTAACTTGTAACTAATTATGCTTTGCTTATTTCCGCAGGACATATTATGTGGACCTGAAGTGGTAGTGGGATGGCCATATCGCTCGAGGAACCGGCAACCAACGGTGATCAAAGGTTCTCGAGTAGCATTCTCGTACCGGTAAGCGAAGCCATCTTTTTCCTCTAATATTCAGGTATAACATTTTAAATTGATAATATTTTCCAATGATTTATATTAAAATTACAAGTCTTTGAATATTTAAACACCTCTCCTGTAAAGTTGTGTTTTTACACTTGCATTAGTATACGTAGAAGCCGTCGAAATGAGGTTATCTGCAGTATAACCAGAGTAACCCACATAACTCAACGGATTAGTAATGTGAAGTGTCACGTGGAAGTGGCCGGCCATATAGCTCGAACAACCGAGAACCGATAGGGAAGAAAGGTTCTCGAGTGGCAGCCTTTTATCGGTAAGCGAAATGAAGGGCGCCCCCCCCCCCCCCCACACTATATGGAGTGACCACCTGGTAAGACATGCAGGAAGTCGATGGATGAAGGTGGCTCAGGACCGTGCTTTGTGGCATTCCTTTCAGCAGTGGACTTGTGAAGGGCTGTAATGATGATGATGATAGATATCAGTCTAAAACTGAGACTAAGTATTATCCAGTTTTTTTAATAAGGCCGAATGTGTTTAAAATGTATATTAACATGGAGTTATTTCAGAACGTTTATTCACCAAACGCAGGCCAGCTAAATAAAGTTCGCTTGTTTGAGGAGATCAATTAATAATGATAACGTATCTGAAATGGGATGATAAGAGATACGCCTACTTTGGTCTGCGCCAGGGCTGTATCTTTCGTTATCTTGCTGCATACGGTGTTGCGAGAAATGTATCCAAATGTAACAACGATATAAGTAAACAAGAAACGTAAATTGAAATCCTATTTGGTTGCCTGGTTACAATATGCTTTAAAACAAGAGAAAAACTGTTAATATAGTATAAGTAGTGATTTCTTATATTAACGAAAATATGAGTCTCTGAGAGATGACTCGTGTCATGATGGTCCGTGGGGTCCACGTGCGGTGAAGTTCCTAAAGGAACTCCATCCGCGGTTGGTCGTTGCTGCTGGTGATAAGAGGGCTGCTTCTTTTCTCGCTCAAAGGCTAAGTATAGCCATTCAGCGGGAAAACGCAGCCAGCGTTCTTGGCACGATACCGCGGGGAGTAGGACTATATGATAATTAAGTTTCTAGTTTTAATTTTTTTTATTAATATAGTTTTTAATATTGAATCCTGAATAAAACTTATTTTACTGATTTTATCGCGTTTCATTTTTATTTCACCTTAGGTGGAAGGCACTTGAAACGTCGAGACTTAAAAATAAATTAAAATAATTAAATATACGCCGTTTATTGTCGGCGTACTGTAGGTTTAGTCCTTTGGACCGAATTTCGGTCACTGCGGCCATCTCAACGGAGACTAGACAACCGCGTAGGACAGGATTATAGTGCCCGAGTGCCCGAGCAAGCAGAGGTGCACTCTCTATTTCCTCACCCAGTTCGATGGGATGACAATCCGACATCCGACAAGTTAGAGAGATCAAGCGCAGGATAAACGACTTTACGTGCTTTTTGAGGCACGGGGGGGGGGGCACCTCCAACTCCCTGACATCGGGTTGCTACTGAGAATTTCTTGTTAGAGAAACCGAATAACTGATTTTGGCTATACCCAGGAATTAAACCCGGGACCTCATTCATGATCAGCAACCGTGTTTACGACCATTAGGCAATCAACAAAACCTAATATCCTATTAGTCGCCTTTCTCGACGCGCTAGGCAAGTAGAACAGTTGCACATTGTTTTTTGTTAAATTTATCGTATAAAAATGGCGCTTATAAATCCCAGACCAACATGGGACAAAGGGCATCATACGCGTGACGCTTTGTATGAATGTTCAAATTCTAACAAAGCTAAATTTTTATAATATATATCTGCAAAATGCAACCCTGACAACTGGTATCGATAAAAATACGAGTGTGGCTCAGTCGCCGCCCACGCGTGGCCAAGTTACAAGCAGCTGCAGGCTTACATATCTCAACTCACGGCCCACAGCCACTCACTGCCGATAAGTTTAGATTCAAAACCAGTCTCGATGAGGGATGACACGGAACAATCGGTCATTGTTGTTAGTCTTCAAATATATACTTTTATTGATTGTATGTACTACTGACACCTTGTACTTTTAATTGCAATTGAAACATCTCTTAAATTTGCCCTTTTTTCCATGATGCTATCGTTGAGGGGCTTACATAAATATATTGTACACTATTTGTAAGCCGTACCAATACATGTTCAGTGCGGGATTCGAACCAGCGATCTACGACACCGCAACCAAACGCTTTAATACTACGCTACCAACACGTCACGTTTACTACAATATTGCAAAATTTTTTTCGCCAAATTAACACAGCTTAGTCATATTATTAGTATAGGCATAAGAAAATCTAATGCCGATTTTGTCTCGTAAATGCCAATCCACATCCAATTCCACTTTTATCCTGTGTTGCCACTGACCTCTATATATACAAGTACGCTGGACTGGCTATACCATACAAAATGCTTCCGCCGATTTGAAGCGCCCTTATGTGTTCGTATCGGGAACTAAAATTGACACAATATGCCAAAGTCTGTTGTAAATCGTATCTTGAACTTTTAAATTAAAAAATTTAAGTATTTTATGTGATTTGATTGTGTTTTATTTCAGTTACATAATAAGAATTATTTTAGTAATTGTGAGAGTGTGCGTAATATATAAAACTCGAATTAAAACTATTTGATAATATAAGTACTTAAAAATTTGTTGCTAATCTTAACATCGTAGTAACCAACATGTTTGGCTTTATATTACTGAGATTTGATAAAGGTTGTCGAGTTCCTTGTCTATAATACTTATCAATGTTCTTTTCTACCCATATCTGTTAACAACCAAAATCGTCGATAACAGATAATTATCAAATGTTTATTAACTAACAGGTTTCCAACTGAACCTAGACTAAAATTATGGCTAAAAAGCATAAAAATTGTAAATTGGCGTCCGAAACAAAATGATTATCTTTGTTCTAAACACTTCACAGACGACTGTTTCATTAGACATGAGAAACTTACCACTGAAAAAGTGGAGTATACCCACAATATTTTCTGGTGGTACCAGTACCAGTAAGTATAAAAATATTAGATTATTATTTCGAATGTTTTTTTTTATTTCTTCTCTCTTTATTTTACCCCAGGCTCAAGGGCCATAGCCAAGTGTAGAAAGGTCGCCTGATGATGACTTTGTGTTTACAAAATGTAAATTTGTTAAATCTCTTTAAATATAACCAATTTATTAATAATTAAAAAAGCTGAAGGTACTCCGGTTTAACACTGACATCGGGACGTCAATCACCTCAGTCCCCCGTGACCAAGGTTGCTGGAAAGCAACCGAAACGTCGGGAATATAAAATAAGTTAATTAAACGCGATAAAATCCGTAAAAATAGTTTTATTCAATGTGTAGTGTTCGCGTAAATATAAGAAATCATTATATTATAACTGTTCATAATTTCATGGATTTCTGCAAAATAACACCTGTTTCTATTAATTAAGTTCGTTAAGTGACGTACGTGCTTACATCGTTTCATGACAGTGAGTGGTTGAACACACCGCTCTCTTTATTTATAACAGTATGCTTATTACAATGATTTACTGCAGTAATGAGACATTTACAACACATCTCGCCTTTTTAGTGTTTTTTAATACCTACTTTAATTTTTCTTACGTCGCTACTACACTATTGCTTCTTGTGTGTGTGTGTGTGTGTGTGTGTGTGCGTACGTGCGTGCATGCGTGCGTGCGTGCGTGCGTATGCGTGCGTGCGTGCGTGCGTACGTGTGTGTGTGTGTTTGTGTGTGTGTGTGTGTGTGTGTGTGTGTGTGTGTGTGTGTATGTGTGTATGTGTGTGTGTGTGTGTGTGTGTGTGTGTGTGTGTGTGTGTGTGTGTGTGTGTGTGTGTGTGTTGTGTGTGCGTGTGCGTGCCTGTGTGCGTGCGTGCGTGCGAGCGAGCGCGTGCGCGTACGTGTGTGTATGCGCGCGCGCGCGTGTGTGTGTGTGTGTGTGTGTTTGTGTGTGTGTGTGTGTGTGTGTGTGTGTGTGTGTGTGTGTGGCGCAACGCGCTTATATCGACTGCGCATGCGTGACTCTACTATCTCCCGCGCATGCGTGAAAACAGAGGAAAGCACATTTTTTGTTTGGAGTAGCTTCTCTAGTACGTAGTACAGAGAACTCGATGATAAAAGATAATTCACATAGAGCATATTACGGACAAAGGTATAAGGATGTTATGCTTACCTATCCACTTCCATTCTTCTCTATTTTATGTTATTGATCACAACTGAAGATATAAAATGTCATTCATCTATACATATAAGTATAATAGAAGTGACTGACTGTAATACTGAAATAACTAGCTTATATTAAGCTCAGGGGGTTGTTTGCATACTAATAGCATAGGCATAAAAAAACATTTTTAAAATTTTTGTTTGCCTGTCTGCCTGTTTGTACGAACTAATCTTAGAAATTATTGAACTGTATTGAAACTTTACGAACAGATAGAGAGCAATAACAGTAGGGATCTAGACTCGAATTTTTGAGCTTTAACGAAAACAAAAATTGATAAAATAAATGGTCTTCGATTATCTTAAATCTAAATAGTGCAAAATTAATACATCGTATCCAGACAAAGCCGGGGCGGCTGGCTAGTATTATATAAAACTTTGTGAAACAGTACTTTGCAAACTGTACCACTGAGTTAATCGCCCATAAAACAAACCGCAGCGTGTCGCAGCCGTCGGTCGCCGACTGCTGCGGTCAGTGAAGGAGAGCTGTTTTCGTAGGGAAGTCAATGACTTCACAGCACTTTATAACTTAAAGCTCATATAGAGGAGTAGAACAGTTGAGAGGACAAGAAATGAAGGTGAATAAGTTCGCTTTTTTAAGCATACTGCACGCACGTAGGAGATAAGATTTGCCACAGTAAAGTTTTAGAAAGTTT